TGCCAATTTAATATGAAACATGGGTATGATTGTATAAAAAACGGACCTTGAAGCCAGTGTCACCTAGATTGAAGTAGAATCTCTCCTGGTATCCTGAAAAAAAAAAACAAGGGACTATTTATTTTAATTAAACTTACATAAAATATAAGAGATTCTTTATGCTGATTATATGTGTAGATAATTAGAAACTTAACTGAAAGCATTTTAAGTCCGGGGAGGGATAATATTGGGTCCATATGTAGGAAAAGTATCTGAAGTACATCACCTGAAATCGATCGACAACCACAACTCGAGCCTGGTCGTGATTATAGCTCAACTGCCACCTTCACACTCCCGTCAGAAGTTTGTTAATCAAATATGATCACTCTTGGACACGGGCATTAAACTTAATAAAGAATAAAATTTTGCTTTCCATTTGCTTTTCTTATTACGACATTATAATTTAAAAATCTTCTACATATCCTTTCTATTTGGATAAAATATGTTATAAATGGTATATATTTTTCAAAGAAAGCACATTGCTATCTGTTGCATTCATTTTTTTATCTCAAGAAATGTCTAGATTTTCATTAATTGGTAAACAAATTTAAGTTTTGTTCAGTTTTTACCTGATTGTACTTGGCTAAGCGCTCTCCACGAGAAGGAGAGCCTGCTTTGATTTGACAAGAGGCAAGACCAACCACCAGGTCAGCAATGAAAGAATCATCTATTTCCCCACTTCTCTATGATATCACCACCATAACTTGGAACCATCATAACCGGTCAGCAGATTCATACACATTTGAGAGGTTAAAACATCTTAGAAAACTTCCTCAGGGCATTATGGTCACATAAATGCTATACATCATCTTCCTCAGGCAGTTTCACTGCTGTGTAAATACCTGCACCAGCTAGTGCGCCAAGGATGGGAGCTGTAAGGTAGATCCATATGCCTTTGTAGTTATTTGCAGCTATTGCTGGTCCCAAGGTTCTTGCTGAGTTCATTGATGCTCCTGTCAGTGGCCTATATCATTTCAACAAAGGGAAAAATGTGAACAAAGAGGTTACCCCTTTTTTTTTTTTTTAAAAAAAAAAACTTCTATCAACATACCCAGTTATCAGAATATTAAGAAGGTTCAATTTATACGTACCCATCTATAAGAATATTAAGCATGACAGTTGCCCCCACAGCTATTCCCGCTAGCTCGCCAACCTGTGGTGAAATAAAAATCAGGTTACAGTTATTTGAATAATTGCAAAATTTGTCTATGTTCATGTATATGTAAAATTTCCATAGCCAATTTTATATTAATACTATAAAATAATAAATATAAATATATATATATATATATATATATATATATATATATATATATATATATATATATTACCCGTGAAGACCAGGGGTAGATGGGCGATATACACTTGTTAAGCCTAATTGTCTAGCAGCTGAAGCAGTGGTTTCGCTAATGCATGCAACAGAACCCTCCCATGTCTGTGGTTCAGGTAGAAAATCCACCGAAGCACTGTTGCATGATAAAGATTAACAGATTAGAGGTCATTTTTTTGGATTTATTTTTCAGGTTTTATGTTTTTTTGGTTGCATAAAGCAATAAAAATAGCAATGAAAGAAATGGTGTCTTCTTGAAGTCAAAGTCCATGAAAGCATGAGGAAGATATTTGTTGAATTTCGCAATATATTATAACAAAAAAGTTCGAGAACTTTATATCTAAGAATACAAATTATTGGAGTGTAATGGAGACTGAGAAAACCTCTAAATAAATAATCAGATAAGCTTCGGTTCGGTTAAGCTTTTTAAATTAGGTCATAAAACAAAGCATTGAACTAACCCCAAAAAAAACATGTGAAACTCCTTCAAAATTTACAAACAAAAAAATATTTATATTTATATTTAAAAACATGTGAAACTCCAAAAAAAAAAAAAACAGGTGGCATAATTAATAGAAAATGATCTTACTTTAATTGGATGCACGGCTATTGAAGACAAACTTCAAGAAGGGTAAGAAAGAAGCTGCAGCAACACCTCAACCCCTGCTGCAACAACATTTCCATTAACCCAAGGACAGAAGAAATTATGATGCTTAATTGGATCAAACTCCACTACTTCTTCAAAGTTGCTTTCCCCATTTGGAGGCCCTAAATACCAAAATATAAATAAAATAAAAAAGATTAAATGTTCAATCATTTTTAATAGAAAAAAGGACTCTAACCTAGCCCATTTGCAGGAGGCTCACATGGTTATACATTCATGCTCTTTATGTTACATTTTCATAATCTCAGGTTCGTGAAATGGCAATGGTTTCTGCTGTTCAGGAAGCCCAGAAAGATAATCTCAGAAACTTTAGTGACTACATGATGACAGTGTTAGAGGTTAGTTTCTACACAAAGTCAAAGTTACACTTCAATTCTGTATTCTGATATCTACTAAATTACCCTTTTACCGCCTGTTTAATACTAAATTACCTTTTTTTTTTATCTGTCAGGATGACTGGCAAAAGGAAAAAAGGGACTTTCTTCACAGCTTGAGCCGCATCTCCAGTTTAGCAAGGACCAATGTAACTGATTCAAGCATTGGGGCTAACCGATCAGGGCCAATATTATCTCTATTTTCTAGTCCTCACATTTCATCTGGTCCTTCTAACATGGAGCTTTTGGCAATAGTTGATAAAAAGGCTGCAACATATGTCCAGGTTGTGAGAAAACTCAATGATGCAAGAAAACGTAGTTTAGAATATAAAGTAAGTCCATCAACTTATCATACTTTTGTTACTCGATTTATTTATTAATGTGTATTTTGTTCCATTTTTCAGTCAGCTACTGCTTTTAAGAATGCATATGATCACAATCTTGGCCTGGATTCTTCTAGTGGTAACTCAGTTACCATGAACAAGATCTGGCATCTAATTCAGGTACACATTGTTTTCATATGTAGAAGATTGCTCTTTCAAGCATTTTATCGATCACTTGGAGTGCATATATGCTCTCTTTTTTCTGACCCATTTACTTTAATTGTACATTTATAACCATCGAAAACAAATGCCAAAATCACATACTTTAAGCATCGATTCATTGTAAAATATAAAATAAAACATCAAACTGAGGTTCAACAAAATAACATTAAGAGAGGGGTAGAGATTTTCGAGATGATCTACAGGGGATGAAGAAATAAAGTTCTTCTGTTCAAAAATAAAACCAAACAGATTCATCACTCTCAACATTTTAAAGACAAAAATCAAGTAATTTAACACAAATTTTAAACTGAAATTTAATCAATATAATGAAAAATCAGAAAAAACATACTCACAGTAGTAGTCGTGGCGGCCGTAGTTGTCGACTCCGCCATCATAAACTTTTTTGTTGAAGAAATAGGAGATGGTAGAAGCGTCCTTTTCATAGCATAGTAACACCTCCCATTCCGGGGAGAAATAGGAGATCGTAGTTGTCGGCCGTAGTTAAACACAATTTTTGTTGAAGAAAGGAAACTTCAATTAAACGAACAACTTTACCATATTTGGGAGAAAAAATCGGGAATGGGTTACTATTAACGAACCTTAGAGAGTTTATCGCCACCAAGATGATGGAGATGCACGAAAAAAACCAGAATCCTTTTTTCTTGATTGAGAAGATGAAGTTGAGGGATGAATGAGAAGTCGTGTTCCCCTAATTTGCTGAATGGATGAAGAAATAGGACCAAGGCTAGAAGCGCAACTAGACTAGGGTTTGTAAACGTGGGGAGTCATTGTAGATGGAGTAGGGTAGAGGTGAAGAGGAGTGAGCGGGGTACTTCAAAATTTTGGGGGATTTTCCATGTTTCTAGTGGTGGCGGCTGCTAGGTTTTACAGAGAGTAGCAGGGGAGAAAATGAAAGAAGATATTACTATTTCAAATGTGTTATGTTTGATTAGGGTTTGCACATAGAAGGAAGTGAAAGTCGATCGGAGAAGAAGGGGTTTGCAGAGAGAAAGAAGGGAGAGAATGAAGTCGATTTGGCGGGTGTAGAGAGTAGAGAGGAAGAGGAAGCGGGTGTTCAAAATTTTGGGGGATTTAGTTTCCCCCTGAGTCCCAGAAACGCGCGTTTTTTAAAATTATAAAGCGACATTTGTAGAGGACGCCCTTTTTATTATAGGTGTCCTCCGTGTTTTTAATATTTTTACATGAGACACTAATTTAAGGGCACTCAGTAATGCGCGACCTAAATCCTTAAATTTTTTGAAGAGATGACACTTTTTTAATGTCGCTCTCTAATGCGTAACATAAATCAAAGAGCGTCGTGTTTTGCGCATCGTAAAAGGCCTTTTTTCTAGTAGTGAATGAAAATCTTGAGGAGGGTTTACGGCCAAGGGAGATGCTCACGGCCGTAAACTCTCATTGTTCTTGGGAAATGGTTGTTTTCAAGGGTGTATATTAAGAGCTTCTATAGGATAACTAGTATATGGAAAGATACTTACGTTTTGAAGCTTGAAGGAGGTGTTCACAGTCCAGGAACTAGTATGTGTTCTTGGTGTTCTTGGTGTAAGTGATGAAGATTTGAAGACCTACCCAAAAGAGATGAAATCATGAATGAAATCATAGGGTTTCACTAGATTTAAGCAAGGTATCAACAACAAATGGAAGAAACACTTACTTATTTTAAGATCAAGATGAAAACTCTTGATGATAGTTGAGAGAGAATCAAGTTTCTTGAGTTGGAAGGGTGAGAAGTGGTGAAAAATGAAGGAATATCATGTATATGGGAGGAGTTTACAGCCAGCTAAGAGATTACGGATGTAATCACTAGTTTACGGTCGTAAACTCCAAGACTTGAAGTTTTCCGGCTTGAATGTTGCACCATGAACTCTAGCAGATACTTCCTAACACTAATTCCTTGAATGTAATAGGCTTAGAACACTCAAACAGACCCTAAGCAATGCTAAAAGATAGCAGAAACAAGTATGATTGTGATTGAATTGAATGGATGTACAGGATAGAAATTTTTTGGTTGTCATAATCTCTCCTACCTCCTACTGTAATCTCGTGTAATAGTGGTCTAAGCATGCAAATTCACCCATGTAAAGGTTGTGTTCAGGAAAAGGAATAGGGTGAGATGAGCTGGAAGCACCCGTAGTTGCATCTGGAGCGGGAGGATTAGGAATGGTGGTTGGAGGTCTACGGGTTGCAGTAACATCCAAGTTGGACTGGACATGCCAATTTGTAGAAGGGATGTCATTGGCCAAAGGGCGTATCTTCTTATTTCGGCTATCAATGCGTAGATACTCTTTACCATCAACGGTCCAATGAACATCCACATTGGGATTGCGGTGAAAGAGGTGCATAGTCTCCATAACATCAAGTGATAAATGAGTACGACCCAGAATTATACCGGTCGGATTGTTGGGTAAATGGAGGCCAAGATGTTCAGCTATAAGAGAAACCATGCCTCCACAATGAAGTTGGCCACCATTGCTCATGGAGTTTCTGAGCATTTTCTAAATTACCCAACACCTGAAGTGAGGAACTTCCTCGGGCTTGTTAATCATTCACCATAAGACTTCCAACTCTTTTTTATTTGCATTGCTAATCTCTTCTTGAGGAAACAGGAGAGAAGCAATGATCCGGTGGGTGACCTTAAGAACCGGATGAATGATATTGGAAGCCTTTGCGGTGCCTGACTGAAACTCGTGTTCACAAGATATGTTTCTCCAAAATCTTTTGTAGCTTTGCTCAAATATAACAATTTTCTCTGCCCTTTGTTGTATACACATCCCTTTTCGCCTTTGGAGCACCAACAATATCACAAAGGATGTCAGCATGAATCTTATAGGATTGATTGAGCAATAGGAAAGTAAGGATATGTGTTTGGTAATCAAAGGTGATTGATGACAAGAATTACAACATGGGTGTTTGATAACTTATAACATGGAGATTCAATAAACCTTCCCAACCAATGTTCTTCAAGAGCTTATGGGCACCTTTATGGATATGAAGGTCCTTAAGGGATTGGATGTCCATAAATTTTTGTGCCCCTTTTACCCTTCGAATAAGGCTTGCATACAAAATCTCCTGTTGATTGGACTCAAAAATAAGACCAACTTCATAGGGTTTTTCCATTGAAGGTTGGTCTTGTTCATCACTTGTCTCTTGACTACCCATATGTGAGGTCCCAATTCTAGAACTTTTTTCACGGGAAGCCATTGCCCAAGAATTCAACAAAGTGTAACACCGTAATTTTTCAAACAATTTTTTTTGAAAATTAAAATAGTTTATCTCTTTAACGCTTTTCATAAAAATCCCATTTGTTTAATTTACAATACATAACTCTTTTGATCAATCAATTAATAAACCAGGATCCACAAACAACCGCTTCCCCAGGTGTGTACAATCGAGCCGGTGCCGTCCCGTGAACCTAAGAAACCTAAAACACATAACACAAAACACTGTAAGCACGAAGCTTAGTGAGTTCCCCAAAATATCACTCTAACACATATTAGCCACTCAAGGCTATAACTCTGCTGACCCTCTGGTATGTGTGTCTCAGTGGAACCCTCCAATCCCAACTCTCTGTGGACCCTCTGTCCTAACTCTATGGACCCAAAGGTCCTAACTCTGATAAGTCAGAATCATGCATATCACATATCACAATAAATCTCAGAAAATAAATAGCATACAATTACACTGGCACATAACTCTAAACCTAACTCTGTAGATCCTCCGATCCTAGCTCTGTGGACCTTCCGATCCTAACTCTAATATACACATAGCATAAATCACATAGAAATACTATGGTGCCACACATAGCATATGTAACAGCCCGGAATTTCAGGTATTTCTTTAAATTATTTTTGGGGCACATTTAGGAGGGGACTCGGCGAGTTGGTGCCTGACTCGCCGAGTAGGACCACGATCTTGGTCACAGATTCGCGACTGGACTCGACGAGTCCAATAGGGACTCGGCGAGTCGACGCTGTTCGGCTGAAACCCTAGCCGTTTTGATTCTGAATCGTATATAATGACTTTAGGGCCGTCATGTCTCGTCTTTTGGCCGATTGAAGATATCTTAGGAGTCTGTGGGCATCTGGAGCAAGGGGGAGGGCTAGTGGAAGCTTGAAGAAGTGGTTAGACAAGGAGAAGCAAGGTGGTGATCAAAGGAGGTTCAAGGGGTCGAGTTCTGAAGGTTGGGGACACAGGGAACACGTTTCCAGGTAATCTTCGGATCATAATCTGTAGCTTTTACGTTGTATGCGAATTTAGGGTTTAGGAAACCCATTTAAGGAATTGGTAGATTATAGTGTTGTTACAAGTGTTTAAACCACTGTAATAGTATATGTGAAAGTCCAGGAAGCCCCATATCTATATACTACGGAATCATGCGAGATACAGGAGGCAGCGGATTGACTGCATGGCGAGGACTCGCCGAGTCCAATGATCAGACTCGGCGAGTAGCTTGAAGATTCACTAGGACTCGCCGAGTTGTTCTTCAGACTCGGCGAGTAGCTTGAAGATCTACTGGAACTCGTCGAGTCGTTCTTTAGACTCGGCGAGTGGAGTCGGGGTGTCTAGACTCGCCGAGTTGCCTTTGCACTCGACGAGTCCGGTCAAGTTGACCGTTGACCTGTATGTAATTTAGTAGGGTCAGTTGTCTTGTTTGATAAGATCATTAATAAAGGTATGTGGTATTATAGGGAACCTGCAGATTAGCGGATCGAGTGCGAGTAGCTCGAAGGGTTTATAGCTTGCATACTACGAGGTGAGTCTTCTCACTATACTTCACCCGGAAGGGTTTGACTGCGTGACCGGAAGGTCGTATGTGTTATATTTATGCTATGTCTAGAGAGGTAGATGCTTTATATGTGATGTATGCTTATATGTGATGTATGCTTATACGGGCCGGAAGGCGAGACTTTATGTGATAGAAAGAACGGTATGATGTATGACTTATGTGTTATGTGTGATATGTTACATGTGTTATGTTTTATACTATTATGGGCCGGAAGGCAAAATACTATGGGCCGGAAGGCAATTTAATACGGGCCGGAAGGCGATATGTTATGGGCCGGAAGGCGATTATGTTACGGGCCGGAAGGCAATGTTATGTGGACCGAAAGGTCCGGGCCGGAAGGCGTATGTGGGTAAGTCGTATACTGGGGAACTCACTAAGCATTTATGCTTACTAGTTGTGTTTATGTTTTTCAGGTACTAGCGATGACCGTGGGAAGGCGCCGGCGTGACACGTACACACTGCCATCGTGAAGATCTTGAGGATTTATTATTTATACTTTGCAATAAACTTGGAATAAACTCTTTTGTCGAATAATGATGTTTTATTTTAAATGAAAATTTATTTGAAAATTTGAGCTGTTACAATTGGTATCAGAGCCTTGGTTTGAGGGATTCGGGTGTACTTTCGGGTGCAACTGAACTCAGACCGGGGATTTGAGGAAAAACCTTTTTAAATAATAAGGACACAACATTTCATAAATGGTAAGGCGGTAAAACAAGGATGGAGCAGTGTGTACGATCAGCCAGCGCCCGAACGGTAAAGATCCCCAGAATACCTTACAATGTTATATTATGCACTGAATTATGAATTGTTATGCATGCTAGAAGACTAGGTATACATGATAGGACTAGAATGGCCTGTTTTGTGATGCCTTGTCTAGGGAGATTGCTTATATGGGATGTTTGGTAGCATACAAGTAGATAGTGCATACTAGAGGTAGAGTACTCATTATTCGGGATTTGGGGAGGAAGACTTGGGACGAATACTGATACGGTGTGGTCGGTAGTATTGGGCCCGTACTACCGAAGACACCGGATCAGTGGAAGACCCAAGTAAGAATCCCTGGAAATCGGAGACTGAGTAGGGCGCGTATCGAGTACCATTGTACTTGGTGGAGTCTCTGATGATTTTATGTTGTATTTCAGAGACATCATGGTCATCACACGCAATGGGGCGAGTTCGAGCGGTGCGAGTGACGAGGAGATTCGTCAGATTATTCAGGAAGAGGTAGCTGCGGCGGTCCGGGCTGAGATCCCGGAGATGTTTGGGTCTATTAAGACCACGCTGATGGAGGAGTTTGAGGAGCGGTACGCCGCACTTACTGAAGCTGCAGTTGCTGCCGCTACCGCAGCTGTGGCTGCTGCTAGGCCGCAAGGGGGTGATTCATTACTATTCAGGGAATTCAGCAACACGAAACCCCCTGAATTTGATGGGACGCAGGATCCGATTGCAGCTATGAGGTGGATCGCCGACATCGAGGGGTGCTTCTATACTTGCTCATGCCCGGAGCACTTGAGGGTACGGTTCGCCTTGAACCAGCTCCGTCTGGGAGCGAAGGATTGGTGGAAGTTCGTGACGGCGAACTTCACTCAGGCAGAGATTTCGGCGGTGACATGGGAGAGGTTTACGGAGATGTTCAGGGACGAGTACGTTCCCCCGGTGGAGAGGGAGCGATTGATTCAGGAGTTCTTGACCCTTAAGCAGGGTACTGATTCTGTGGCAGTGATCACACGGAAGTTTCATGAGAGGGCAATGTTCTGCGAGCTGGTATCTACGGAACAGTCGCGGATGAGCTGGTATTTGGGTGTTTTGAAGAGGGAGATCCGGGAGCTTGTGTCAAACTCCACCTATCGTACTTTCACTGAGCTTCAGGCGAACGCCAGGAAGCGCGAGATCGAGTTGGAGACTCAAGCGAGGGAGGAGGCTGAGTCTCGGCAGGTGGATCGACGGCCGGCTCAGTCTCAGCCGGCAGCCAAGCGGACTAAGTTCGCTGATTCGAGGATGGGAGGTCCGAAGGGTCGCACTTGCGCGAAGTGCGGCAAGAGTCACGAGGGGGTGTGTCGAGCTGGTGGTTGCTACAAGTGTGGCAAGGAGGGACATATTGCCAGGGATTGCCCTAAGGGGTTTATGGTTTGCTTTCACTGCAACCAGACAGGCCATCGGAAGGCCGAGTGTCCGCAACTTCGTCAGGGAGCTACACCTACTACCCGGACTACTGAGACCCGACCGGCGAAGGTCGAGGCCCCGAGGGCTCGCGGGAGAGCCTTTCAGCTGACTGCGGAGGAGGTCCGCGCTGCGCCCGATGTTGTGGCAGGTATGTTATCATTCACGTATTTACTTAAAGGTCGAAATGCTATGCTTATGTTAATGTATGTGTAGGTACTTTCCTTGTGAACTCTATGCCTGCTCTAGTGTTATTTGATTCGGGTGCGAGTAGATCGTTTGTATCGTTAGCTTTTAGTCAGCACATCGGCATTAGTCGTGAGCCGTTAAGTCGGCCTTTGAGCGTTTCTATTGCGGCTGAGAGGGTGATTTGTGCTACGGAGGTTCTTCGGGGATGTGTGCTAGAGATCTTCGGGGTCGCGTTTCCGATTGACCTCATTCCTATTGCGATGGGGGATGTCTGTGTCATCGTAGGCATGGACTGGTTGAGCCGATTCAGCGCTGTTATCGACTGCGAGCGTCAGCTGGTGACTATACGAGACC